GGTTTCTCTGTGTAGCTTTGAGCCTTTCCTGGGACTCACTTGGTAGCCCAGGCTGGCCTCGAACTCACAGAGATCCGCCTGGCTCTGCCTCCCGAATGCTGGGATTAAAGGCGTGCGCCACCACCGCCTGGCCATAAAGTAAATACTTTTGAAGATAGAGGGTTGTCAAAGGTTCTCGACCCACAAGTTGGGAACCACTGTCATACAGGGTTCCCGCAGGAAGCCCTTGGTGCTAGCTGCACATTGGGCTTTCAGAGTTCTAGCTTCTAACAAGGAGTGCGATAATTCCCTAAAGTTCTCCCCAAAATTGCTGCCTTAGAATGTACTTTGGACCCAGACTATATAGTGCTACAGCAGGTCTGGGGTTATGAAGGTCTGAAGCAGTGAGTTTTCCACGCACGACGCCGGCCTCCCTAGTGCTGGCAACTGAACAGGAGGTGGGAGTCAGAGTCCTAGGGTGCTCCTACTGGCTAGCCGGGAAGGGCGGAGCCCGAGCCGCTGCCCGCCCGGAAGCGCGCCGGCGGGAAGCTGGCGTGCAGCGCGCCTGTAGTGGCGCGGAGATCATCGTAGCAGGTACTCAGTGGGCGGCGGGAAGTTTGCTCCTGAGACGGAACCAAAGCTACTCCCTCCATGCCAACGGAGCCGCTCTCTGCGTTTCCCATATGACGGAGGTGTGAACTGGGAATTGTGGCGCGAGAGCCTCTTCTAGGGGCCGCGATGTGAGATGCTTGTCCTGGGACCCCCAAGTCCTCTTGGCTCCCCTTCGCACTGTTTACTGACCCTCTCATGCACAAGAGACGCCTGCAGTGGAAGAGGGTCCCTGGGTCCTCCCCAAACTGATGAGTGTGAAAGTTGAAGGTTGGCCCTTATTGCCAGAGCCCTGTAGGTGGGGTCAGGGATCACGTGGCCAGATTCCCCTTGGTCTAGCAGAATTCGCCTGGCTAGCTGTTCACAGAGCCTCCCTGCCTAGTCCCCCTCCCAGGCGGGAGGATCCAGTTCTCATGAACAGCACAGATGCAGGTCCTTGGGCTGCAGTGACCACTCCACTCTGTACCCTTCAGGCCCTGGGTTCTTGGGCCGGTGGTTCCAAGAGCTGCCTGTTTCCAGGCTGAGTTACTGTTACTCTGATCCGGAGAAGGAACTGGTCCCCTACAGCTCACTCCCCTCCCCTGCTTCTGCAGCTTCCTTCAGCCTTGCCTGAGCAGGCTTGCTTGGCAAGCTGGGACATGTCTGGTCCCCGAGGACCTTCCGTGGGTGATGGCTGCAGTGTTGGAGGGGCTGGAGCCGGAGGAAACTGCTGCAGAGGATGCTGCAAGACCCGCTGTGGAGGCTGTGGATTCCAGGCCCGGGGCACCTTTTCTCCTGGCCGGGAACCAGTTGAACTTGGACATACGCCCAGGGGGCTGCCATCGGCTGCAATACCTGTGTTCCCAGAAGCCCCCACAGCTGCTGCAGGTGGAGTTCTTGCGACTCAGTACCCACGAGGACCCTCGACTGCTAGATGACACCCTAGCCCAGGTTCCGTGGGGTCTGTTGCGCCTTCGCTCCCTGGTCCTCAAAGGTGAGTACCCTTACTCTTGATCCCGGCCTCATCTCTAGCCCTGCTTTGACTCTGCCTCGTGGTCCACAAAGGCCATCTTGTCCCAGCCCTAGCTCCAGACCTCTCTTCTCCCTGCATCTCAGGTATGAACCCTACCCCACCCCTGTTCCCTGTCCTCACCCCTATCACCTTCCTCCCCAAAGTGAGGCTGGCTGGGCGCTGTCTCCTGAGCCTGGGATGCTGAAGGTGCCCCGTTGGGTATCTGCAGATCCCAATTGTTCTTGGGTAATGCTGTCATCTGGTATGAGCTGGTGGTCTTCTCTGTCTGCTTTTCTGTCTTTCTCTGTCTCAATGGCTGGCCTCAAAGGGAAGCTTCCTTTCTACTGCTTTCTCTGGCCGTCAGGGCTGAACCGAGACTCCAACTCTGAGGGCTACCACTGTCTCCCCCACTTCCAGGGGGCCAGAGCCGGGGTGCCCTGGGTGCCTGCCTTCATGGTACCCTGACCACTCTGCCTGCTGGCCTGAGTGACTTGGCCTGCCTGGCCCACTTGGACCTGAGCTTCAACAGGCTGGAGACGCTGCCGACCTGCATCCTGGAACTGCGCAGCTTGGATTCCTTGCTCCTCTCTCACAACTGCCTCTCAGAGCTGCCCGAAGCCCTGGGGGCCCTGCCCACCCTTACCTTCCTCTCTGTGACACACAACCGCCTCGAGAGGCTGCCTACAACCCTGGGGTCCCTGTCCACCCTTCAGCGTCTTGATCTCTCTGAGAACCTTCTAGACACCATACCCTCTGAGATTGGAGACCTGAGCGGCCTCAGTGAACTCAATCTGGCCTCCAACCGACTGCACGATCTCCCAGCCTCCCTTGGTGAGTAGCCATGGTACCAGCTTTGGTTCACCAGCTGATAGAGACTGTCCCTCAGCCACTGCCCAGACCTCCACTCCCACGTGGGCCCCTGCAGCCCTAAAGTCTTGGGACTGGCGCGGCCTGTGAACCTCTATGGCTCCCAGGTGGCCCCTTGACTTTGCTTCCACCTCCTTGGTGGCCCACAGTTCACATGGCATCTTTGTCCCACCACATGATAGAGCCTGAAGCCTTTAGTGTGAGAGTCTTGTCAAGGTGCCCAGGGCCACCATGAGTGGACCTCTGCCAACCGTAAACCAGCACTTGCCTGCAGCGGGCCTACGGTCCCTGCGGCTCCTTGTTCTGCATAGCAACCTCCTGACCTCAGTGCCCCCTGGCCTGGCCCACCTGCCACTGATCTCTCGGCTTGATCTGAGGGACAACCAGCTCCGGGACCTGCCTGCTGAGCTACTAGACGCTCCCTTTGTGCGCCTGCAGGGGAACCCTCTGGGTGAAGCCTCTCCAGCACCCCTGAGTCCCCCAGGTAGGCCTGTCATGGGGCATGGCCGGGCTATGAGAGGATGAAGGCGTATCATCATCCTGACCACATGCCCGTCCCTTGTGCAGACATATCCCGGATTCCAGAAATGCCCAGGCTATTCCTTACCTCGGATTTGGACAGGTATCGGTGGGAAGGTGGCTGGAGGACGTCTGTCTACCCTGTGTCCCTGGCCACGTTGGGGCACCTTGTCTGTCTGCCCTCATACCTCTCTCCTCACTCAGCTTCCTTGTGACTCCCCATGGCTGTTCTGTGACCCTGGCCTGTGGTGTCCGCCTACAGTTCCCAGCAGGAGCCACCACCACACCCGTCACCATCCACTACCGACTGTGGCTGCCAGAGCCCCACCTGGTCTCTCTGGGACCTCATGACTTCCTGCTTAGTGGTGTTCTGGAGCTGCAGCCCCATGGGGTGGCGTTCCAGCAGGTGTGTTGAGGATGGGTAGGGGGCAGGTGTGGCCTAGGTCTGGCCCTCTCTCACACACTGCCATTGCCTGACAGGATGTGAGCTTATGGCTGCTCTTCGTCCCCCCGCGAGTCCGTCGCTGGCGTGAGGTCGTTGTGAGGACACGGAGCGACAATAGCTGGAATGACCTAGAGACCCACCTGGAGGAAGAGGCACCCAAGGTGACAGCTACCTAGGCCCTTGGGAGTGAGGGGACAGGTGCAGCCTGCCGTGATACCAGCCCACCCCTGCCCATTGTCTCCGCCTTAACCCCATCCTCCCACGTGTTCCAGAGGCTCTGGGCCCGATGCCAGGTGCCCCACTTCTCCTGGTTCCTCGTCGTTTTACGCCCAGTATCCAACACTTGCCTGTTGCCACCAGAGGGAGCACTTCTGTGCTCTTCAGGTCATCCTGGGGTCAAAGTCACCTTTCCCCCCGGGGCCACAGAAGAGCCTCGGCAGGTCACCATGCAGGTATGGTCAAGCCCGTGCCCAGGGTGGCAGGAGGTGCCTCAGCATACAGGAAGGCACTCAGGTGGTTCTCTGTCCAGGTAGTGCATGTGGCCGGTGGAGAGCTGAGGGCTCTCCTGGAAGAATCAGAGGCATCGGTGAGTCCTCTGCTGTGCCTCTCACAGAGCGGCCCTCCCAGCTTCCTGCACCCTGTCACTGTGCAGTTACCCTTGCCCCCCGGTGTTACAGGTGAGGCTGCATGCCACAGGACCGAAGATGGGTGCTTGGAAGGGGAAGCTGCGTATAGAGGCTTCAGCCTTCTGCTAATTCCTGTCCAGGTTTCAGTCTGGACCGCTCCCACCTGCACCTGCTGTACCGGACACCCTCGACAACCACCTGGGACGACATCACCACTCAGGTGGCACTGGAACTCACTCACCTGTATGCACGTTTCCAGGTCACACACTTCTCCTGGTCAGTGTCCTCTAGCTTCCTCGGTCCCCCCTTCTGCCCTGCATCTGTATGGCCACACCTCAACTCCGGCACTTCCAGGTACTGGCTCTGGTATACCACCAAAAGCTGTGTGGGGGGCCTGGCACGGAAGGCCTGGGAACGGCTGCGTCTGCACCGCGTGAACCTCATCGCACTGCAAAGGCGCCGGGACCCCGAGCAGGTCCTGCTACAGTGTCTGCCCCGGAACAAGGTGGGGCAGCAGGAAGGCAGTGGGGTGACCTGAAGGCTAGGGTGGGTCCAGAGCTTTGGCCTCCAATCCCTGTGGGTGCTTCACAGGTGGAAGCCACCCTTTCCCGGCTACTGGATCGGTACCGCGGCCCCGAACCCTCTGATACCGTGGAGATGTTTGAGGGTGAGAAGTTCTTTGCAGCCTTTGAGCGGGGCATTGATGTAGATGCTGGTAGGTCTCTTCTCTGAGGGGCATTGGGGCGTGTGACACTTGGACACCCCCCCCCTACTGAGTTTGCCCCCCTCCGCAGACCGTCCAGACTGTGTGGATGGCAGGATCTGCTTTGTTTTCTATTCACACCTGAAGAATGTAAAGGAGGTGTACATTACCACAACCTTGGACCGGGAAGCTCAGGCTGTTCGAGGCCAGGTGGGCTGATGTGTCAGGACCCCCCAAGGTACCTGGACACCACCTGTAGACAGTTTTCCTGTCCCACAGCTGCTCTCAAATAATCACTCGGAGGCTTAATATTAATTATGAATGCCTGGCCAATAGCTCAGGCTTGTTACTAACTAGCTCTTACATTTTAAGTTAACCCATATTCCTTATTTACGCTCTGCCACATGGCTGGTACCTTTATAGCATGGAACATTCATCTCCTGCTCCCTCTGCGTCTGGCTGGTGACTCCAGACTCTGCCCTCCTTCCTCCCAGCATTCTCCTAGTCTGGCTCTCCTGCCCAGTCTCTTTCTGTCCAGCTATTGGCCAGTCAGCTTCTTTATTAAACCAATCATAGTGACATATATTCATGCAGTGTAAAGGAATATTCCACAGCAACCACCTGATCCTTCCCCAGGTGTCCTTTTATCGGGGTTCACTTCCCACAGAGGTGCCTCAAGAGGCTGAGGCTGCCCGGCAGAGGAAGGGCACAGATGCACTGTGGATGGCCACCTTGCCCCTCAAGCTGCCGGTAAGATGAGAGAGCCGTGAGCTGATATGAGGAGACAGAGTCCCGGGGTGACCAAAGACAAGAGGATGGGTTCAAGCTTTTACTGTATCCTTGTCTCTTGACAGAGACTCCGGGGGCCCCAGGGAAGTGGGCAGGGGACTGACTTCTCCCTGCTGCCTCTGAACCTGGGTGATGCGGAAACTGGTTTCCTGACTCAGAGCAACCTGCTGAGTGTGGCCTCACGCCTAGGTCCTGACTGGCCAGCTGTGGCCCTGCACCTAGGCATGCCCTACCGTGAGCTACAGTGTATCCGGCATGAATTCAGGTGAGCCTTCTGACTCCCAGCCTCAGCTTCAGGGCCATCCCTCAAACCCCGCTCCGACAAATCCCAGCTGAAAGCTTTCAAGGAGGTAGAGGCGGCGCCAACACCAGCCTGGAAAAGGAGGGTCTGGTCACGAGCCCAAGGAGCAAGAAACTCCTTTTTGAAACAGTGAGCCTCTGTATGTGGTGTGTGGTCCTGGGCAGAATACCTTCATCACCACTTTTTTCCTCTCCAAGGGATGATCTGGATGGGCAGATCCGCCACATGCTCTTCTCCTGGGCTGAGCGCCAGGCTGGACAGCCCGGGGCTGTGGGACACTTGGTACAGGCCCTGGAACAGAGTGACCGGCGGGATGTGGCTGATGAAGTACGTGCCATCTTGGAGCTGGGCCGCCACAAGTATCAGGACAGCATCCGGCGCACAGGGCTGGCCCCTGAGGACTCCACTCTGCCCGGCACCTCGGCTTCACAGACGCCAGAGTCTGCCCAGGCCTAGGCTCAGACTTAAGCTGCTGGCCTTTGACTTGCCTTGAGCAGAAGGCAGAGGCCCTTCCCTATCCTTCTACCTCATCGGTGTGGTACAAGTGTCCCATCATACCAAATCTCATGGTTTTGAAAGCTTGGTTTATTTACTTTTTGAGACAGGTCTTACTGTCTAGCCCAAGCTAGCCTCCAGCTCCCAGTGCACCTCAGAGATTGATTGACTTATAGGGTAGAGGGCAGGGGTGCCCAAGTGATCTGAAGCCGAGTCCCTGGGTGTGCCCACATTTCCTACCATGCTAAGTAAGGCCTGGAGTGATGGCCCAGTGGTTAACAGCGCTGGCTGCTCTTTCAGGGGACCCGGTTTCAATTCCCAGCACCTACGTGGTAGCTCACAACAGTCTGTAAACTCAAGTTCCAGAGGATCAGGCGCCTTCCTCTGGCTTCCACAGCACCAGGTACACGTGGTGCACAGACATGCACGCAGGCAAAACATCCATATACATAAAATAAAAGCTATTTATTGTGCATGTGTGTATCAGGGAATAACTTTGCAGAGGTCGTTCTCCCCTTCCATGTAGTCCCTGGGAATGAACTCGGGGTCACCGGGCTTGGTTGCAAATACCCAGTGAGCCCTTTCCAGGCCCTCGAACTGTCTTCCTCAGGGATGGGGAGGAGCCATTCTGCATAGTAACCAAGCAGCAGGTGTGGATACAAAGTCACCTGTGACAGAACCGTGCATAAGCCCTGCCCACCAGGGTCTCATGGGCGGTGTCTAAGGAGCATCTATCTTAACGCTCTGGGACCAAACCTCCCCCGGGCCACCCCCTCCGCACGCACGTTTCCTGCCACCTGTTCTTGGTCTCTTAACCCGGCTTGGCGTGGGAAGACCACAGAGAGGGCCCTAGGGTTATGCCAGAAAGCCCACCCCCGCTCAAGGGTGGCCTGAGGCTGTGGTTGGTGGCAGTGGCCACGCCGGCCGGGAGGGGGAGCCGACAGCAGCGAGGGCTTGGGGCGGAGCGGGCGCGCCTCCGAGAGACGCGCCTCCCAGCTTAGGTGCAGGCCCGGCGCGCGGCACAGCGGGGAGGCGAGCCCGGCGGTGGCGGCCGTGTGGTGAGTGCTAGCCAGCCCGTCCGTTTCTGCGGCGCCCACCCAAATCTGGCTGGGTTGCGGGGAGGGAAAGGGTGGCCCTGGTGACTGGGAGAGGTGACATCCGTCCAGACACTGCGTCTCCGGCGGAGCCTGGACCAGCGGGTACCCCCACCGGCTGTCTCTCGGGTGTGGAAGGCCGTGCTCGGTCCCGGCGCGGCCGGGCGCGCTCCCCGCGCACACGTGTCCCAGCAGTGTGGAAGCCTCAGAGCTGATGCTGGGTTGGTTTTGGGGGGGTCTTTTTTTTTTTTCTGGCCGGGGGTGGGGACGCAGCACACGTGGAAACCCGTGGGCACGTTCACGGTCAGAGTCCGCGTTGTCTGGCTGGAGATAGCGAGGCCAGCTCAGCCCCAGCCGTGGGGTCGAGGGTATGTGTGATCTGACGTGGAGCAGAGGATGTGCCCCCATCCCTGGCTTTTCTCTGTAGGTCGGCTGGGGGATCTCGCAGCGGGAGATCTCTCTGTGGCCCTTCTAGCATGCTAGGCGAAGTTAACCTCGCTAAGAGGAAGGGGTGAGGGAGACTGGATTGGGGGGAGGGGCACGCCGGTGGTGGGGCTCAGCCCCAGACCACTTTTTTTCCTTCCTTCCTTCCTTCCTTCCTTCCTTCCTTCCTTCCTTCCTTCCTTCCTTCCTTTCTTTCTCCTTTTTCTTTTTCTTCTTTTTTTTAAATGTGACGCTGGCTGTCCTGGAACCCTCTCTGTAAAACCATGCTGGCTCAAACTCACAGAGATCCCCCTGCCTCTGCCTCCTGAGTGCAGGGTTTAACGGTGGGCGCCACCGCTGCCGCCTGGCTGCTTTTCCTTTAGATAGGAGATGGACAGCTTCATTCATGGAAATACGGGAAGAAGCTGTATGGAGCTGTATGCCAAACTGATCTTTCTCAGTCAGCATGTGGCCTGACTAGGGAAGGCTGGGACAGCTAGGCAGACCGCTCGAGATCCTCTGCAGCTAGACTGGACAGTCCGGTTTCTATGGTAACATAGAGGGTGCTGAGGGAGCCCTGACAGCTGTCTCAAACTGATGTGAGTTAAGGAACAACAGCAAAAAGCCCTTTAATCCCAGCACCAGAGGCAGAGGCAGGAAGATCTTAGTTTGAGGTCAGCCCTGGTCTACAGAGGGAGATCAGGACAGCCAGGGCTACACAGAGAAATCTTGTCTGGATGGGGGGGGGACAACAAGAAAAAAAAAAACCCTGGGGGTCAGGGAGGGAGAGAACAGCCCAGAGGGTCCCCTTGCCTGTTGTTCCAGGCAGCAGAACCCCCTACTCCCAGCTCAGAGACTGTCCTCTGTGGCCTTTGTCTGTTTTGTTTAGTTCTGGGTGCAGGGCTGACTCAGCCCCTAGGATCTCGTCCCTGCTGCCTTCAGATGGTCTCTCTGACTTCCAGGACACACACACAACAGCCACGTGTCCAGACCCCAGATGTGAGGGGAGACAGCATCTGAGGGGCAGCAGGCCCACTATTCCTGAGGGCAGAGGCGTGGGGAAGGCTGGGGCCTCCCCTGGAGAACTGCTGTAGCTAGTGTCCACTCGGAGCTTGGTATGGGGAGGGAGAAGTCAGACTAGAGAGGTCAGAGGTCAGGCCTTCGCCACGTACCAGGCTTAGGAGGGACAGGTACTCTTCCACTGAGGGGCCTGGTGTGCAGAGGTGAGGCAGAGGGCAGAGGGCGCCTGGAGTCCCGCCCCCATGTCCTCTGGACCTGCCAGGTGAGCAGGGCCTGTGCTTGGCTGGCCTTTGAAAGTTGGGCATCCCTTCCTTGCCCTTTCCAGAGAACAGGTATACATACCTTCTGATGCTCTAACCTGAGGTTCCCGGATGGGTACATGATGGGTACACCTAGGTCTCACAGCACAGTGGATGTTGACCCATTTCTCAAGGTCACGTGTGGACAGGTCCCTACAGGATGTCCCATTCCCTGTGTTCATCCCATAGGCTGCAGATAGAAACCTACTGAGTGGCCTGAGAACTTGGTGGCCGGGGAGCTGGGGTCCCTGTGGGTAGGCAACCTGGGTCTCATGGTTAGTCTGGCCCTTCTTTAGACCCCAGGCTGGGCCCAACCCCCCGGGGCCCCCAGAAATTGTCTCACCCCTCTCTGCCTTTTCCCAAAGCTGCAGAGATTATCTTGTAGCCCAAAGTGAAAGAGAAAGTCCTCCCCCCAGGCCCGCCCCGCCCCGCCCCGTGGCCAATCCCTGTAGCCTCTCGCCTCCTCCCCCTGGCCAGCCTCTTGATCTCCTCAGTGAGCGCGCTTGCTGTGGAGCGGTGGTGGAGGAGCCGTTGTGTGCACTGTGGGGTGCGCTCAGGGTGAGCAGATCCCAGCGGCGGCTTGTGTGGGGAGAGGTAGGTAGCAGGTCCAGGGTCGCAAGTCCTCTGGGGGGTTCTATCGTGTGAGACAGCCATGTGACCCCATGTGGCAGCAGTGAGGATACTAGCCTGTGTGTGACAGCTGACCTCTGAGGGCTCAGGGAGATACACAGGGGAGGGAGGACCCCGGACTCCTGGAACGCACCCCAGCTTAGCTGTTATGATTGTGTGTCCCTCAGGGGATGAAGAGGCTGGCTCTTGGATTCCCGACTTTGCTGCTAATAGAAGAGACCCTTCTCCCACCCTAAGGGAATAGGGTGTACCAGCCACAGATGCCTTAAGAGACAGACATCCCTCTGCTCCCCCCCCCCATACCTTGTATTCCCGTCCTGTCTTCCCCGAGTCCTTAACCCTAGGCTCCTGTGTCTTTGGGGAGTGAAACACTTCCCTTGGGAAATGGACAGGAAGGTGGGCAACCAGCTCGGTGTGGGTGGGGAATCTTGCTTCTCTATGGGAAGAGGCTCTGTAGCCCAGAGTGAGCTGTTGTGGAACTGGGTCTGCTCTGCCCAGGGGTTCCACAGAGGAAAAACCACCACCGCCCCATCCCGCTGAAAGCGGCAGGTGCTAGGTGGGAACTGGTTACCACAGCTCAAGTCCAGGATCCCAAAAGTACCACTGCACTAAAAGGCACCTGGCCCTTTAAAAGCTGGAGCTTGCCTTCTCTGCGTGAGCATATGCGTGTGAGCGTGAGTTCCTGGCTGCCTGGGAGGACGCCACGGGGAGGGCATTGAAGGAAAGCCAGGTGGCCCCAGGGATGGGTGGCCTCCCTTTCTTCATCTACCCCCGCCCCCAGGGTATCTCCAGGGCACCTTGATGGCTGCAACCTGCAGCGTGGTGTCTGGGGAGTGAGGGGCTTAGTGCCCTTGTAAGATGGTCGGTGGGTGGGGAGGCTTCTTTCTCTGATAGGTCCCCATCTGTCACTCATTCTGTCCCTTCTTCCTTTCAGGTGGCAGAAGTCTTGAAATTGCTCTGAAGGTGAGGACGTCCCCTCCCCCACCATCAGCCACCACCGCCAGCCACCCACATTGTCCTCCTCAGCCCCTCCCCATCAGTGCCTCCACTTACATCGCCTGGCCTGAGTCAGCCGCCTGCTCCACTTGGTGTAAATGGCTGATAAGCAGATCAGGTTAGAGGGACCTCCACCCCTGGGCTTCAGTCTCCCGCTCCTTTCTCCCCCTCCCCAGCATGACCTCCCCATCCCCCTGTCCTGTGGTCGAGGATGTTAATCCTGACACTTGACCCTGCATACACAGCCTGCCGGCCAAGCTCATCAATGGTGGCATCGCCGGGCTAATCGGGGTCACCTGCGTGTTCCCCATCGACCTGGCGAAGACGCGGCTGCAGAACCAGCAGAATGGCCAGCGCATGTATGCCAGCATGTGAGTGAGAACGGCGTGTGAGGGATGAGGGCACGGCCTCCACCTTTGACCTCTGCTCCTGCACCCCGGGTTTGATAAAGGGTAGGACGGGCCTGACACAGAGCCTGTCCCTGGCAGAGTATTTGGCTTCTCTGTGGGCCCTGGATGATCATACTGGGCAGAGAAGGTGCTGGCTGCCCTTGCCTGACTCAGGGCCAGGGTCCAGCTGGCCACAGCTGATTGCCATCCCCTTGGCTACAGGTCTGACTGCCTCATCAAGACCATCCGCTCCGAGGGCTACTTCGGCATGTACAGGGGTGAGGCTTGGGACCGGTGACGGGGGAGGGGGGGTCTGGCTGGGAGTAGGGTCAGGGATGCATGCCTGGGCTTGGTCTGTAAGTATGGACATGTTAGGTGTTGCTGGTAGTGCCTGAGCATGATGGGAGCATCTGCCAACCCCTTAGTGCTGGGAGAATTGGATGTTTGAGGGGATTTCTTCTGCAGGGTGGTGGGTCTGAACACTCTCCTGTCCCCGGCTGGTAGAGCAGAGAGGATATGCTTCTGTTTCTCCATCTT